CTAACAGAAAATTATATACAACCTACTCTATGATACATTATTGGGCCAATAATGTGGGATGCACAGATGTTTTTATAATCATCATAAATGATGAACATTTTCTTCAGTGATTTGTGATAGGAAATGTAACATTAAGTCCGGTATTATTGAAATTGTTACACTGTATACTTATAACATATTTACTGCAATCGTTACACTACGTCAGCTGTCTGATGCAATAGGGAAGGCTCCCAAATAGACCCTTGGATGTTGTTACTAAAGTTAATCCCACAAAAAAACAACTGTAAAAACACAAGCACACTCACATGCGTTTGAGGTACACGTATTCCTGGCCTGTTCTGATTGGACAATTGTTAAGTTTGATTTAAATTGAAATGTCTACTGAACCGACTAATCAGCGTTGCAGAAAGAAAGTAGCGATTTAATGGAAACCAGGATTTATCCAAGCACTGTACATATTGCATTTCTTTTACAATTAAAATGAGTTAAGCATTCCCTGCTAAATGCATTCGTATGAATGCCTATCCAAGAAAGGATCTCACAGGACACAGCTTATACTCACTCAGTGGTGTTGCGCATAATATTGCCTACTGACAAGGTTTGTATTCGCTTGGGTGAAGACGACGGTATCTCAGTGTGAATAATAATGTCCGAGCAACATTAATCACATGTCTCATGCAATAATTTATCTTGTGCGAATCAATAGCATAAAGGAAAACATCATATTTCATCCCTTTTACAGTAGATTAGTGTTTGTTGATGGTGACGATGTAGTGATAATGAAGGTGATACAATCATTAACCATTGATGATATGATGATAAAGCTCACAAACTCTTAAACCTTTTTTCTCCTCAACTATATTTCGGATCAGGTTCTTTTTTCAAACAACAATTAGTTTTAATGACAATTCTTTGTTGCTGTTTTTGAATTTATTTTGCATTTTCAGCATTATAATTAAATCGGAAAAACACTCACAAATACTAAACAAAAAAAATGTGGGTTGAAAAAAATGCCTAGGAGAAAAACAGGAAATAAAGTATTTCTATTTATTTGTCTACGTAACAAAAATTTAATATGATGACAACCATGTAATTGACAACGATTATGTTGTGGTGATTGTACACTTTTAGATAATGCCTAGACAACAATTGCTGATAATTTGCAATTAATTACATTGCCCATGACATATATAACCATTCGTGCATTCAACCACATATCTGCGCAGCAACAAAGGCCAACACGACAGTTAGAGATCTGTTCCCACCTTCCTCTCAACGAGACAGATGTCTCTAGAATTATAATAAAGTTGTGAATTAATAGGTTAAACAACTATGAATTCAGAGTTTAATATTGGTAATGTAGGAGTTACTGGCCAATACTAAAGACAATTGGTTCAAGGGCAAGTCACCCAGATTAAAAACGGCCATCATATAATTTGTATATTGAATAGATTTACATCTCTAATTACCGGTAGCAATGGGGCCAACAGTGTTGTGACACCGACATAAGTACTTTTAAAGGTTTCCAAATAAGTTTTTATGCATAGAGGTTCCCACCGTGCACTTTTTGACTATCTGGGAGCATGGATTAGAGACAAAGGTTTTGGGTAGGTGAATAGCACGACCACTAGATTATGGATTTATGAAGTACACATCGAATTGCATAAGATGCTGAATAGGCCTAAAATCATATACACTGTGCAAATTCTTTAAATGAGAAGTTATCTAGAGTATTTTACCTGTTAACATGTTTATACTTTACATTAATAAAAGTGTTTATCTATTATATAAATACCAGCCTACTGTCTTAGTGTCAACCGCCAATAATTTAATTTAATTTTGTCATTTTTTTGAGTATTAGTTTTACCTTTTTTTCCTAATCAATTTTTTTTAACTTTATTATTTATTCATATTAAAATTGCAAAATGGACTGAATTACAATTTACATATAAAAAAAATAACTAAACTCACCATACATAAAATAAACATTAAATTTATTTAATTAATTATTGTTTCATTAAAGTATTAAAATTGCATATTCACTATAAAAATATAAAATTCATAGGAAAATTAGGGGGCAAAATGACAAAAAATCCAAGCATTGCATAAGACATTAAAACATTTGATAAACATTAAAATTACAGCAAAATTGAAAATACCAATTAATTTCAAAAGGAATTCAGGAAATCTGCTGACAACAGTAAATATAAAGTAAATAGCTGGCTCCAAGATACTGTACTACAATTTAATTAGGTTTTGAGTGTAATTTTAGGATGGTAAATAACAGTGCCTCCATTCATGATTCAATTTTCTCTGAGGATCTACTTATGATGGTTTTTGCCGAATTCGGCAGAGGCGATGTGAAAAAGGTGTTTTAAGTGGGTAAAACAGTACCTGTGAGTATCTTTTGTCCAATCACAAGTACTCTTTTAAGTAGCTATAATGGGTCATCAACACCAGAATAGAGTACAATGATCACATTCATTGGCTATTAGTATTTGACTTGAGAAAATTATCGTTTCTTTTTTTTCTTGAAGAACTGCATAAATCACCTGCTTACTTTACTTCAAATCATGGTTGGTGAAAAGAATAAATGACCTAAATATTAAATTTAAGGTGGAGCAGCGATGGATCCAGGATTTTTTGTTAGTGGGACTATAAAAAAAAATCCCAGAAGGCTTGAATCAACACCTACATCAACACCCACCATGGATGTAATAGTCCATCATGGTGGGGTATGTGGTTCATTTAATAATTTCATTCAGAGGCATTACATAAAATTGAAAGTTATAATTTAAGCCAACTTGCTGTACTAGGCTACTTTTCTAGGCTATAGTACTTTTAAATTTGTCTATAATCATAATAAAAATACATACATGGGGGAAGGGGAGGGGCTAAGTGCAAAAGCCTGTTTACTTCCCTTATAAATCCACCCCTGGGAAGTGAGTTATACAATATTTCATGACAGTGTGGACAAATAAAATAATATACGAAGGCTTGTAATGTACTGTGTACTCCATGATAATACTACCAAGGGCAGATCCAGACACTTTCAGGAAGGGGTAGAGTTTTTAAAATAGGAACACTCCTGTGTAGGTGACAGAAGTTTAAGCAATGGGGAAGGGCTCCCAACCCCCTGTCCGATCTGATATATTCTAGCTGCTTATATCTATAAAAATCGTCTGTAACTTACTACTGATGGGAATGCATATGGCTTTAGTTGATAGGAGAGCATTAGTGAATGTGGTTGGAGTGAGTAACCAGGGGTATGCTAAAATGTTAGTATGAATGAACGCAATTTTAAATACAGAGAAGTAAGATTCTGATGAACATATAAAGACTATTGTATTTTGTGAAGACTACTGTAGCCTTGCATTTGGCTCCGTTTTTAGCTAGCTAGATGCTATATCAGGGCCATAAAAAGTAGAAAAAATGTAGGAATTCCGACCATGAAACAGGGGTCATCTTATACGGCCAACATACTGTACGACAGTCACCTAAAAATCTTCTCAAACTCGGGAGTTGTTTTATAGGCGGGTCACCTTATACGCGAATATGTACAGTACTCATTCAAAATCATACCCTGGGCTTTTGCATGAGGAAATGCTAGTACGTCAAATTTGGTGTAAATTAGTAGGTAGGCCATACTCAAGGTGGGCTTATACTCAAGAAACTACTTTCTTCATTATATTATGTAGAGTTTTTATCGTAGAGTTGCCAGACTAGGGTATCCATGTCAAAACTGACCTTGTACCAACAGATTCATTCACAGAATTTCCATGTAAGCATTGCTGCTTCAGCTGTCCTAAAATGACCCATAATATCAACAGCTTCAGAAAGTGTGAGTTGACTTGTTGAAAAGTTTGCCAAGGTAATGACAGAGAGAGTATTAACAGAATCTCTCTGGTTCAAGTAACCAAAGTGGATCAAGTTATTCCAATTTTCAGTAGGAATTTTTTTTATACGTTAATCCTACCAAGAGTACAGGCTGTGTACTATGGACAGGATATGCTTAAAGCAACTTCCTTTATTACCTATATTATTAGATGACAAAAGATAGGCCTACACAATTCAAAAGTAGGTCTAAAATTTTCTTTTAAAGTTAAAAAGAATCTAATAAGTACATTAAAAATGACAATAGAAAAAACTCCCTTTCGCATGTTTGCTGGAGAAGTATTTTAATAAAAGTATAAGTTAGCCAAGAACTCTGTGTGATTCACTTTTTAAATAAGCCTACAGTATAACTAAAATTTCTCTATAGCTCAATAAAGGGCCCATGAACTTGACAAACATGGGAGGAGGTAAAATTATTATTATTAATATGAAATAGAAAAATTTGCTACAAAAAAAATAAAACAGAATGACAACATAATATTTTCCGGTAGAACGTTATGCTCCAACGTTATTAAAAAGCTATTTTTTTTTAATTGAGAGGTAAGATAACAGCATTAAAATTCTCAAAAAAAAAATTCATCCATTTTATAGTGACATGAAACAAAGTATTTAAACGCACATTAGTAGGTGTATCAAGTTAGAAGAAGAAAATCCCAGGAATCTGCAGTACGAAGTGGATCCCGGAATTTGAAATAGATGGAGTTAAGAATATTTATGATTACAGTACCTCCAGATGGCCGGAAACGGCACTCTCAAATTTAAATTTGAATATAATTTTCTTTTTTTCTAAATTTTTATTTATAATTTAGAAAAATTTATGGAGGTTAAATTTTCGGGAGATTCTTGCTTGCTTGCGAAAGGGCCAGAGACCGTCCTAATATTCAACACTTGGGACTCCTGCATTTGCTTCGGGAAAAAAATGTGTGCCAGTAATATTTAAAGCCAGGCTCCAATAGAAAAATGTTGATTTGTTGTACTACTGATTTTTAAGACACAAAAATTGTTATTTGATAAAAAAAAACTTGGTAACCATTATTGAGGTACTGATTTTTCAATATTTAAAAACTGGGAAAAATGTGGAGGTGGGAGTTACGGAGGCAGTCCCACTATTTCAGAATACATTCTCTGAAAACAGGGTCCACATTTATACATTGCAGCTCCTCGACTGTGTCACTATCCTCTACCAATGCTAATCCTTGAACCTCTTGATGGTACCAAAGTACAACAGTATATCATAGAGGTTAAAGACATTTCTTGAAATTACATACAAACAATGTTTAACTATCATAATTTTGTTATCACTGAAATACAGTAATGTTTACCTGAAACCGCGGCTTCGGCTTGCTCAAGATTTCCAATAGTAATTCGAACCAAGCTTGAGTTGAGCGCAAATTGACCCTGTGAATCTTGATTCAACATCAGGATTCTTACATCTCCTTTATGCGCAGTGGTATCACACAAAGATGGGTTACCAAACCCTTTCACCATAATCCTATTATCCTGAGACATATCGTTACTAACTTGATTTTTGCCTTTGAAAAACCGAATAATTTTCACCTCACAGCTGTAAGTCATCTGTTTGGGTTCTCTCATGATTCGATCTACCAGACCTGATACCACGATGTTCGCTTCTTCCTCCCGCTTCTCAATCGATTGCTGTTCCCTACATTGGAGGTACCTACCCTGAACCGGAGTAATCAACAACACCGCTAGGCCCAACAGACGGACCACTTCTCCACTTACCCTTAACATTGTGTTAAGTAAACGTGTGCTTTCAATGCTTAGCCCAGTATAAGGGTGAAAATATCCAATATAAAGTGGCTAAAAATGACTGGGAGAACTAGTCGCTGTGCTTAGGACGTTTGTCCTGGCTTCGGCCGGTCCGATGATCAAAGCGGGCCTCGCTAGACAACAACTCAACCAGGCGTAACAAGTCGATTCCCCTAACCTCGTTATCAACTTCTTAATTGCCCACTGCCTGTTTTGATTGGACAACCACTCCACATAGGCAATTAAGCAACTTGAAACCAATGGCGCTCTCCTGCTAATTCATCTCTGTAATCTATCTATGTATCAGCGAGTACAAATATTGGACAGTAATGTATTTCAATGAATAGGATATAATCAGAGATAAATATCAATCATATTATTATAATGTTCTTTACAACTACGTCTAAACAGTGTAAATAGATCTACATTGGTAAAGGAAATACCATCCTAACTAGAATATACTAAGCAGTCACCGGTACCAATGAATCAGTTAGTGAGCAATGTCGAGGCAGTCACAATAGGAATGAGAATAAGTTTGCAATATCAGGCTACATTTTTGAATATTTTATTTGTTTATTTATTTAACTTTATGTTGAATACAAAAACTTATATTCAGGGATAAAAACACCATACTACCGAACTGGCAAACTTATTTCCATTATAACCAAAAAGTGGGTTTGGATAAGTACGGCAATCCTATATAATTTAAAATGTGAACGGATATAATAAACTATACAAATGTAAGTAAAAATAATCATTGGAAATTCTCCTTACCGTATGCCAAAATAAAAATTGTGACTTACGAGGTAAATACAAAATTGCATTTAGGCCTATCCAAGTCATTTTGAATAAAGAAATAATTAATAAATATGCATATGGCATATTATAATTACTTTTGAATAATTTTCGGAAAAAGAAGTTATCAAAAGGAGTGGGTTTAAGTTTGCATTATCTTTGTAAATATGAAATTTTTGAAATATGTTTTATTTGTGTAATTAGTTCAACAACCTTAAAACGCTCGGTCTATCATTCAGCCTTCCCTTTACCAGCTGTTGTTAATATGTTCTCGATCCTTACTTAGAGAAGAAAAGACTCGACACAAATTTCTCCAATGACCTGAACACGTCTTTTGTTTTCTTCATTCACGTTTTTTTTTTTAATTATTATACTAGACCCATATTAAATTATTCGTCCAATTTGCAGTGCGAATAGTGACTAATCATACATCTTATTTATAGCATAGACATAAGGGTGTAATAAATCAAAATTAAAAGCAATTATATTCTAAAGTGATTGTTAGGATCGTTGATGATTCAGTATTAAAAGTAGGCCTACTAAATATTTTTATAATCAAAGTTTAAATGAATACTGAGTTTAAATCTTGAAAAATAAATATTTTAATTGTTGTAATGTAATTTATTTCATTTTTGAACAATCCTTTCTGAAATTAAACACACGCATATATTGTAAGCAAACTATTCAAACGGCAGCTGTTATTTCTAAGGCTTGAATTCGTATTAAACCGACGGAAATTTACCAAATATGGAATGAAACACGCAAAAACAGTACAGTAACAATCAATAGAATAAAGAAATAATTTATATTCAATAAACTAGTTATTCATTTAAGTATATACAATATGCCTTTTAGATGTTTTAATTTAGGCCTAAGTTTTGAAAAAAAATTAAATCCTTTTTATACAACAGACATAAAATTTCATTTTTTTCATTATGTTTGGTGAAGCGATCGTCAATATATATGCCTATTTAACCATAGAAATTTTAAAGGCCTAATAATCAGAAATTGACAGAAAAGGCCCAATAAATATACCTAGTGTTAATGTAATGGTTTAATTCTAATCTATTACGGTACCGTTCAAATAAATAATCGAGATACCTAACACTAAAGATACGCCTATAATACTACTGATGTTGATTGAGCTAATAAATGTTAACTGAACTGTTGACTCATTAATAATTGTATTATGTAATTAATTTATTAGCTTTCAAATGGAATTTAACCTGTCTCTTATACACATCTGAACTCTGTGTGATTCACTTTTTAAATAATCCTATATCTAAAATCTCTCTATAGCTCAAAAAAGGGCTCAGTCGACGTGAACGATGTGAACTTTAACGCAACCTAAAGGTCCCTCCCTAGATGAAAATCATTGAAAACTGCCTTTTCGACCTATTAGGCCTATGCCATTTCAAGTTGATTAGTTAGTCACTGTTTATTCGAATAGACGCCCGGGTGTTTCTGTTGAGAATGGTTTTTGAGGGGTTTTTTTTTATTTGAGAAAGGCGTTTATTTATTTACGTATTTTTTGGTAAAATGGAGACCTATGTATACTCAAATAATTATATCCTTTAATTTCACTGTAAATGTGGAGCTACGGTGCAGCACATAATTACAGTCAAAATGTGTAATTGCGTTAGGCCTATCACAATAACTTAATCCCAAGCAGGTTAGCAAAAATGTACCGGTAATTCTACTAGAATGTAACATGAAAAAAATGTGTGTTGAGAATGATATGTTGCTTCTATATAAGATTCGTTCACAGGAATTTATGGGGGCGTATAATTCGAAGGGGGAAAAAACCGTTTTGAGGCGTTTATTCGAGGAAGGCGTTTATTCCAAATGAGGCTCAGGAGTGGGGAGGGGGGTTAATTTGAGAGTGGGGTGATAATTTTAAGCGGGGCGTTCTCCGTTCGAATAAATACGGTACCAGTAATCTTGTTTATGTTTATTAAAAAGATGAACCGAGATTCAATGTGCTAAGCCTACTATGTCAGCAATTATAGTTATAAGCAGTCAATCTGACAATAAATGAATGAATTGAATTGAAATTATTGAAAGAACAATTTTTAATATAGTCGTATGTTTTTTTTTCAGCTTTTAGCGCATATATTTATATTTAGCTCTGAATACTGTATATTATTCATAAAAATCATGTTTAATAACTAATATTTTAAATATTTGTTCTCTAATACATTGCATGCGTTTGATGTATATTACATTTTTTTATATTGTTTTTTGAATAAATATTGATTCCATTAAAAAATACTTGATTTGACTTGCTTACTTGGAATTTTCCACATATCCATCCTTTATAAGTATAATGGAAAATATAGGCCTTGGCCTAATTTTACGTACAGACAACAGATTGCCATTGTTTTATAATGGCATATTTCTAAGTCTACCACCTGAAGCAAGGTTGTTTGCTGAAAATTTGGTACAATTTGAACCAATTCTCGATAAACTCGAAAAGTCTAAAACAATATTAGCATAAATTAAAAGGAAATGCTTTTATATTTTTAATTAATGAAAATAAATAACAATTGTTTTCTTGAAAATGTGATTTCACTTCTCAAAAATGTATACCATCATTCTTAAGCAAGTGGAGGTGTAACTGTAACTCCATACCAAAGTTACTATATTATAATACGATCATGTGCGTTTATAAGATTCATTGCCTATTACGCAATACTGTGAGAAAATGGGAAAATCCAAAGGTGTGTAGGTCTCTACCATTGGCCTAGCTCAGTTGGTAGATTATCCCGGGGTTATCCAAACGGTAATCGGATGGGGACACAATATGTCCATGCTTAGTTTAAGGCATAGGATAAGTTTAAGTATTACTTTCTTTGTACAGTTTTTCATATTTATGTTAAGCGCATAGAGATCTCCATAATATACGCCACTGTAAGTCGACATTATTATTACTACACTTCTTTTTTATAAGAACCAGTAAAATTTTTCCCAGACTCAGTGTTCTTATTTTTTGGCTGATTTCCAGCTCAAAATGTTCTCATTTTTTTTCTTATTTTTACACTTTCCAAACATAGAAAATTGTTATTTTACAGTCAGTATAATTATTACTTTACTGTATTATAAAGGTTAGTCTTACATAGTAACCACCTACTGCAAGAAAGGTACAGATAGATTTGTTGGTTTTCTATTTAAAAATAAAAATAAAAACATCATTTGCCATTTTACCACAGCCTATAATTGTTCATATTTTGTTCTTAATTTTCGAGCGATTTCAGTTTTATTAAGGTCATTATATTGCGCCATGCTACATAGAGGGCGTTATCAACTTCTCTGTTGCTTCTTCAAAATATAATATTAAGTTAGTCAAACCGATTCCTCTTCGTAGACAAAACGTTATAACATTCGCGAATAACATATTCAAAATAAATCAGCGATTACGCAAGACAAAGAACATGATTGTCTCTTCTTCATTGCAAAGAAACCCAGGTTTAACCTTACAATTCTGTACAAAAAACGTTACAACAAAGAAACGCAAGGAGTTAGGATTTTTTTTTTCTCTATGCACTTTTGGGGTCTGGAGTAACGTGAGCTTTGTGGTGTCTTTTGATAAAAAATTGTTGTTATTTTAGTTATATTTCGTTGTGTCAATTGTGAATTAATAAAATATTATACATGACCATACTGGAAATAAAAACTCTTCAAACATGAATTAAATAGAAGTTGTCACAAAGCATAATAATCAAATGAATAAAAAATTCAAAATATTGAAAACAAAAATGAAACATCATCATCATAATTTTAGCTGACAGCTGTTATACATATTTATTACTTTTTTGAGCAGTTTGAATGATAATGTCCAGTACAAAGAGAAGATAGATGGCAGGGATTTATAAAACCAATACAGTGAACTCACTGAACAAAAATAAACAAGCAAATGAACGTTTTATAGATATCTCATGTCTCTTCCAAGCATGTACTGCAGTAGTCATTTTGCACAAGCATACAAACTATTAATTGATACAAACTATACAAGGAGGTAGTACAGAGGCAACAGTAGTTCACTTTAATACAAAAGTGAACATAAAAATGGATCGGAGGGCTGAAGTGTATCTTTTATTTAGCGCTGAGTCCCGCACATAAACTTTGACATTTACACAAAAATGCTTGCAAAAACCTACACGCAGTGCTTCTAAACAGCTTAATGCTCAGTTATAAAATTACTTTTTACTGATTTAGCATCAGGTAGTGAAAACAAGGTGTTTTCGAAACCAATAATGGATGCACACATAGGTTTTATAATTTCTTTTATTCATTATTTTTTTTGGGTCACATGTAAAATTGTTGTTGGACCGTACTTCAATTAATATCATATCTAAAAGTATGGTGCATGGCATTATATACATAATTCTGCAGCAATAACAAACTACACCAAGTAATTATAGCAATTATTATAATTACGACAAGTGTCATAGCATATAGTTGATTACATACTGTAGCAGGTATGCACTACAAAAACTGTTTCCATTTCTGCAATTATACTGTACGAAGAGCATAGCATAGTATAGGACTATGTATATATGGGGCTGATTGACTCATTTAACCTGGGATATCCGACCAAACCTACAACATATAGAACAACCACCTAAAAGGGGTCAACAAATCCATTTCAATATTCAACATTCATTTAATGTACATACATTGTGTTTTATCTATAAACGACTAAAGACTGTAGTCTCCTAATATTATATTCAAATATAGGGTTCACTATTGTCATAATCTAAAGACAATCATAATTCATAGTACTGCTTAGGCATAATAATTTTAAGTGGTGGCACCAGAGCAAACTGGGGCCTTGTTTGGGAAACCTGGCCTTCTGTTAGGGAAGCTTAGCAATTAGGCAACATTTACACTAGACACGGTAATGACACGAGGACATATCATCGCCTCTTTTATATTCTTCAACACTGAGCGCATTTTTATTGTGTCGTAGTGTCTAGTGTAAATGTAGCTCAAGTCAGGAGTAAGCATAATAATATGCTTTATAATTCCCATTATTAGAAACATTTTGCAAGCCCCTACCACCAATGAGTTGTAAACTTCATTCTCCTATAGGTGGTCCATCATTGGGGAATGATAGAACATCATTGCACGACAGATGGGTCGCACTCACTTCTGCCCCCACCAACCCCACCATGGTTTGGACTGAGGCACAAAAATTTAGGTTATGTTACCTCTACATGCTTGAAAATGGCACACAGGCCAGCTGCCTAAAAAAATGACCCATTCATTATCCGAGATGAATCTTATTACAACTCCCCAATGCCTGTTGGTGGCGCAGTTGGCATGTCCGAGGCATCGGGGGTGGGGTTGTTTCTTCCCCCTCCCCAGCATTTGGCAAAATCCTAGTGCCACCACTAGTTGTGTTAAGAAAACTGAGAATATCAATTTAACTATATTTTAGATACAGAACTAAAAATTAAAGTGATAGATTAAAGAACTGGTTGGTTCAATGAATGTAACATTCCTTGTCACTGATGTCGCACATATAGTTCCTAAGTTACTTCCAACATATTCTGGTAACTCGGTCTGCCTAATAAAAATATTTTGTTGTGATATATTTAGTGAGAATGTGCTACAGTAATTTTATAATAAGGCTAAAGATCTATATAGCACCATTTCTAAATCAGTGAACAAAGGTGCTGAGCACTATTACCCCTGGTCACTGGATAACGTACAACAGGAAACCAGCACGGAGTACAACATTTTCTGCTCCCTGTGGAGCGTGTAGTCGGCGCACGAAAATAGTACAATCAATGCTGCAACATCCCACCTTGTACTCATTTGTATATATAGACACAAGCAACTTGTACAGCGAGAGTTTTGAACCCCCGACCTCAAGGTCAGGAGTCCAAACCACAACCGATGCGCCGAATGTTTATTACATTGTTCTACAGACTAACATGACTCATTCTACGCTAAATTAGGTTATTTTGTAGACTAGAATTTGGATATTTTTGTATGCTACGCAGTAGTAGCTATTTTTTGTAGACTAGGCTGAAAAGTTGGGTATTTTTTAGACTAGGCTCAGCTGTAGTAGCAATTTTTGTAGGTTAAGCTACATATAGGGTCTGTCTTGATAAGCACTGTGTCTCATAGCCTGGCTTCCTTGATATCCACTCTGAAAGGAAAAAATTGAGACAAAATTGTTTATATAATATAAACACAGTATATTTAAAGCAAGCCAAATAAATACAGTATGTTTAAAGCAAGCCAGATCCACTGATCCAATTATAACTTGAACCAAAATTACCCTCAATTTAAAGAACCCTCCAATTAGAGAACAACTTTCTGTGGTCCCAAATAAACAAAGGTCTTTTATATTTATTGTTCCAATTACAGACTGAAGCTGCTAAAGTCCATGTAAACGCTGGTCCCAAACATCGTCTTTAATTGGAGGGAGACCGGTAAAGCCCATTTTGTAATTATTTTAAAATCTTGTTTGCAAACATATTTTTTTAAAGATCGCCAGAAAATATTCCCCCAACCCTCCCAAATTTAGTTTTCTTTTATTAGCATGTGGTTTTGAAAAAAGAAACTAGCAGAGGAAAAAATAAAAACAAATATTAATTTCAAGTGGAGACTTAAAAGAACAGAGTAGTAAAAATTTTCTTTCTTCCATTTTTTTGGGTTGGTGCTAGTATATTTTGATTTAGTTTCTTCTATTTTCTCAATTCAGTTCGAATCATTTAATATTTATTATTCACTACATACCAATAGTTATTGCCATTATCAATAACATTATTATTATTATTATTATTATTATTATTATTATTATTATTATTATTATTATTATTATTATTATTATAATAAACAGTGGTGGATCCAGAGGTCCAATTTAAATCATTTTTTTTTACTACAGTCGTTTCCACAACTTTCTATGCTTCGGTCATCTTTTAAACTTGTATTTACCTGGCTCAAATTACAATCCACTTACCTTGGATGTCATCGAGTGTTGTTGTTGATGTTGCTGTTGTTGATGTTGCTGTTGTTGATGTTGCTGTTGTTGATGTTGCTGTTGTTGCTGCTGATGTTGCTGTTGTTGATGCTGCTGCTGTTGCGGTTTCTTGTGAGCATATACAGGAGACTCTTGTTTTCTCCTTGGCGGATAGCCCTGAATTACTCCAGCCTAGCAATTCATCAAATAAAGGATAATGGTGACGCACCTAAATTCCCTTGGTTATTTCCTCCACGGTAATTACGATGTATCATAAAAATGTTACATACTATTAATACTTATGTAGCACTTTCTTTCACAGTTAGTTACAAAGTGCTTAGACAAACCCTTACATACTACTTTTTACTCTTTAAAGACCTATCACTTTATACTAATACCCATAAGCACAAGAAAGCAGCTTTTACAGAGTATCAAGAAAAAGATCAATAATTAGGGCCTACATTATTCATCTTATGGTGAAAATTTCATGTTGAAGACAATACAAATTTAGCAAAATGTACAGTGACATTCCAGATAAATTTATGGCTGAAATACAACCTTTAAAATAAAATTAATATTTGATAATGATTACCAATTTTCATTCTTATATTTTCTTCACAAATAACACTAGGATAGAACAATACTCTGTAAACCCACGCTTTTTTTATAAGGCATATGGAGTGGAGATATCTTTATAGGAAGCGGCTTGGCGGTGCAGGAACGGTTTGGAGTTCTAACCTAGAGGTTGTGGTTTCAATCCCTCTCTGTGCATTTTGCTTGTGTCCTTGAGCAAGGCATCTTATCTACCTTGCTTCTCTCCACCCAGACGTATAAATGGGTACCTGCACCAATATGGCAGCAACACTTAAGCATGTGAACCCATCGACCAGGCAAAAACTTACAGCGCTTTTAATCTGTAAATGAAGGTGCTATATAAATGACCAGATTAGATTAAATTCTGGTAATTCACTGGGACCCGAGATTGAAAGACAAGTATCTTTAACTACCAATTTACAGTATCATCCCTATTCACTGTTATCTCAGATAAATATTACGGACGAGCACTCTGTTTTAAATACAAAGCCGGATTCTTACCTTCTGTTGTTGTTGCTGTTGTTGCTGTGACAGCAGTACTTGGTGAGCCTGCTGTTGGTGTAGAGCCTGTGTGTGGCTTTGAATAACCGGTCGAACATGCTGTTGATGAGCCTGTTAAAAAAAAAAAAAATTAATATCATAAAATGAACTCTCAATCTGTTTTTTGAAGGGATTGGGCAACTAAGTGGTCTCTATCTTGGCCTGTTGTTTTGCCGCCAGGCAAAGAGAGGCTGAAGTCCGACACTCACTGTACATGGTCGGAGGCAGATGCGATCCTACGAAGAATGCAACGCGACGACACGTGCCCAATGGATCGTTTTTACTGACAATCTGTTCAGCCTGCCATTGACAAGCAGCAGATGGCATCACGTTGCCTAGCGCTCACAGGAAGCGAAGTTGGATTCATTGTGCAACAGTTGTATGACCGTCTTACGACGTAGTGGTTGCCCTGGCTATAGATGAATGGTGCAACGTGAACGTGCCTCAGCTTGTTGAGCACGTGGCCCCCCACTCCCCGCCTTTGCCACTTTAGTCTTTTATATTTTAACAGAAACAAAAATGCATACAAATACAAAATGTTACAAAATTTTGTAATAGCATAACTAAACATAACATTATTGGATAACTTTTGTATAATTATATAGTAGTAGAGTTGTGTGTGTAGGAGTGAGTTTGACGTGTAAGTTGACTGTATCTTTGACCGTTGAGGCTCTGAGTAGGGCTGGTTATGACTATTTACTTGCCAATGTGTATTCAGTATAATTTATTTGTCATTTGTCAAATTCATTTTACATTGAAACACATTTGCAGGAATCCATTCATAAATAAACAGAAATAATTACTAGATGACAATATCAGGTTAATAAACTATCCCCCCTGCCAGACACCATTTCAGTATTTCTGAGTCAAGGATTCGACGCTTGAAAATTGATATTACAATATTTTGTCGAGTGGGTTTGATGTGTAAGGTTACTGTTACCTTAGCCTGTTGCGCTTTAGCTGCTGAGTAATGGGACTGCTCATCACTGTATGCTGGCTGCTTACTAGGCGGCTCTCCAGTATGAGATGTTCCACTTTGAAGATATCCTTTAATAACAAAAACAAATTGTTATGCTTTAATAATGCACATATTATCATTTAAAAATATATTTGAAGGACCATCACATTCAGATAACTTTATTAATAACAATAGCTGGATTTATATAGCGCTTTACACCAGCCTCAAAGCGTTCGAGGCGTGGACTAGCCCATGCAGCAACTTTCTTCTCTCTGGGTCTATTTGTGTCTGAGATACCCAGTAAACCGGTGGTTAAGATGCTTGCCTTCTGATTCCAGGGTTGAATTCCTGCGACAGCCGGATATTTTCTAGCGACTAAAAACAAATTCACTCACCGACAACGTGGCTGTAGATAACACCAATTAAAGTCACACTGACAGCAAGTTTCTCAGTCAAGAGTCTCTTAAGCAATCATGTAATTTGTAATCATTACCAGTAAAGGCAAGTATTCAATTTGTACTCTATAAAATATAGCTCTTTTTATGATGGTGAGAGACAACAGCAATCTTAATTGGTTTATGAGGTTGGTGGATGTAGCCACCCTGTGTAAACACAACTGCAGAAATTAAGCTACAGTTTATTTTATTTGAAGCCTAACGTCTTCCCTACAGTATGTACCAATCCTCTCTCTACAAAACACAAGTTACAATACAGCTGTTTGTATGATGGTAAGAGACAACAGTAATCTTACGTGGTTGATGAGGTTGATGGATGTAGCCACCCTGCGTGAACTGTGCTCCCAGCTCTTTCTGCTGCTGTACAAAATGGCTGTGATTATAGTTGGCATATGCAGGGTCTCTGGCTTGGTACTTGCTACTCGGCTGGGTGGTGCTGGTATAGCTGCTGTGAGGCTGTGCGTAGCTACCATGCTGTTGACTGGTGTAAGTGCCTTGGTTTGTGCCATGGGCTAAAGCAACATAAAAAAAAAACAAATCAGATTGAGTAAATTAATGTGACAATGGATTAATCACTTAAAACTAAAATTATGAGACAGCATAATGATGCTGTGCATTTAAAAGATTAAACAAATGTTGAATCAAAATTGTCATTTTGCAACTTTAATCTTATATCTATATTTACTGATAATCACAAAAGAAAAACAAATATATTATATACATATATATATACATATATATCTGTCTCTTAAGAGACAGTGAGTAGATAATAATGAATGATCACACAACTACTTTATAATAAATCATTGTATGCCTAGTTGTAATAATGAATGATTGATTAATTAGCCATTTTGTAGTTTAAAGTGTGCATGTCTATGTTAAAGGTCATGGCATATAAACAATCACTATCGGCTTGCGACACTATCGTCCGCATTATAATTATGCGCTTTTACTTAAGAGTAATGATTTTACGGTACAGTAGCTGAATGCCGAATCCAATCTTCAATGCTCTGTTAAATAATAAACCATGTAGACAGAAACATACCTAATGTTTGCTTATTATGCAATGACCTTTGACAACAACATGTGCACTTGAAAATACAAGAAGGCTTATTGACAAATTAAATTTCAACATTTCTCATATATAATCTCTATTGCACCTTGTCTGTAAGGAGAATGGCTGACTTGAGCGGAGGCATATGTTGAAGTTACTTGTTGACTGTAATGCCCCTGTGTGTGAGGGTGATGTGGGTAAAGCTGGACCAATGGTGGAGAAGGGCTTCTGTTTCTCTTGATACTCTAAATGAAAGGAAAAAACATAGGTTTGAGTAGAAGCATAGCATATTTTCAAATGTATACACACGGCAAAATCAATAAAAATAAAAATGAAATTCCAGATTTGGGGTCAAGTCCAAATTAACGATTCCAATCAAGTTTAAATTGATCAATTGAAAATTTATCAATTCCAAAAAAAAAATTCATGATTTTTCAATTAAATATTTTTAACTTGGAAACACCATTTTTGGGGTTATAAGACATTGTATATTACAGAAAATATCACATAAACCAGAGAATCTTGTGACCATGCACATCATTACGGAAAATCTGGAACTAATTATTTTTGCCTCATAGTAGTTGAATGAAATACAAGATAAATGTAGCACCTACATGAGAAGGTGATGTCTGTGGTCTGTACACATTTTTAGGTGCATCTCCTAGCAAAGCTGGCCTGTTGATACCTATTAATAGTAATACAAAAGAGAACATTGCTATTTATTTACTCACTTATTCTCAACTGATAAACTGGTTCAGAACTGATCCAAAAATGTATGCATGTCCTATTTTTTACATGTTTGTAGATTTGAGGGACCATTGCAAGAGTATCCAAATGGCAGGGCTTAGTATTTCTTTATTTTTCTCAGAGCTGAACCTTGAATTTTTAAGTTAAGTATCTTAACTACCAATCCAACTGCAGTTGTGGATCGGTCTATCGTACTCGCACGAATAAGCACCCCGTTTGAATGAACACCCTTCCTAACGTGAAAATTGTCTTATGTGCCCCGTTTTAAAAAGCACCCAATTTTGAATAAGTGCCCCTCGATTCCTAAAAAAATTTAATCATACAGTACAGTACATCACCTACTTAATTTTCTGCATCTACTATTTGCGTCTATCTTAGCATTGTCGGTTATTCAGTCCACCTATCCATGTCGGTCTCTATCAAGTTTAACATGTTTTTCAGTTTTGATGCATCTTTAGAATCCCGTTCTTGTTTTATTGCTACCCGTTTGGATTTAGAATTACAGTATGTAATATCTAAAAATTAAAATACTGTATGGCCATTTTCAGTCAACAAAAATAAACTGACCTCATCACTCTCGTATCTAAGCAAGAAACCCTGCAATGATCCTACTAATCTGAATTAGCAGATGGCCAACACGCTTACCACCACCACCAATTTCATCTGATGTTTTGTAAGTACCCCCAACGCACAAAAGTGCCAATTGAATTTTCCAATTTCCCATAGCACCCCTTCAATTTTCATCTATTTTCATAATTTTCATCTATTTTCTCTGTTCTCATAAATGCCAAAATTGAATAAGCGCCCCTCAAAAAGAGCAAAAAATATTTTAAGCGCCCGGGTGCTTATTCGCACGAGTACGGTATTTTTCAATCGGTCATGGACCGATGTTTTTTGTGGGCTATAACACTGTGTCCCAAAGGAGGAAAACAATTGACAAATTGTTGACAAAAAATAAACTCTGTTGTATGAATAACACTGACCTGCATTCATTCATACATGTGTTTGAAATGCTGAGAAATGGTATTGAATACTCTCTAATAATACTCCATAGATATAAAACATGAGCAGCTCCCTCATTTAGGTACTAGACCAGTAAGTAAATATATTTTAGTCTGCCCCTACTTCCAATGCTACGAAAGATGCTACATACCTTGTACAATCAGGTGGGGTCCAGCAATACGCATTGCAGGCAGGTACTGGTGGTGGTTTAGACTAGCTTGGATAAGATTACTGCAGATACAGAAAAGATCAAAAATAAAAATAGTGAACAGAAGGAAAATCAGAACCCTCCCTACATGAACAATGGCACTAGAATTGGCTAGGATCTCTCATAGTTTCTCAGCTTTGCATTAGTCATGTAAATTTAAATCATCGTTTCAGCATCTTACCAAAAAGGAATTAGAATGTTAGGTATCAAAACAGGTCTTGCATTAAACAATCTATTATTAACAAACCAAGCCTGTGGAAAGCAGTCAGCTAATCTTGGCTATAATAGTACAAGACAGTATTTTACAAATCTAGCTTTCAGGCCTGGACCAGCTCAAGTAGGTTTACATGCTAAAACCTAGCCTTGAACATGCTTAAGTACAGCAGACAGTGGCAAAATGATGAATCATGGGGCCTAGCAGAGAGAAAAATGTTGGGGCCCCTTGAATTTTTACAATATCATCGACATAATAATTTATAATTCGATTTGACGTTGGTTAGCTCAGCTGTTGAATAGATAATGCGTCTCTTAGATAGGTGGGGTGTTAGCAGAAGTGATACTGTGGCCACTCCGGTTCTTTTAATATGGGGACTGGAGCTTTTCCCCCCGAGAGCACAATTCGTCAAGACTGCACTATTTGGACAGTGGGCCTGGGCACTATATGTTACTATATGTCAGTAGGAAAAAATATCAGTAGTAAGAACATTAACAAAGGAATGATGCAGAATTATATAAGGGTGTTGGTTAAGATATAGGCAGGAGCTATCACACACCCAGATAATCATACTCATATGGTAATTACAGGTGTTCATAGTATAATTAGCAAAGTATCAGTTATTTCTTCAATGTATTAAACTAGGCTAATTATTTAATAGGTTGTATTCATTTTACTAAATTTACCATAGTGTATCATCATTTCTGTTTGTTGTGGTTCTTTAAGTATCATAATAGTACATTTAGTACATAGTACAATAAGAAAAAAATAAATACAATTGGGTTAGGTTATATTTACTTAAGTAAATACAATCTAATAATACCTGTATTTATTTACGTAAATGTATTAAGTTTTATAGTACATCTAATAACAGTAATAATAATAATAATAATAATAATAATAATAATAATAATAATAATAATTTCACTTATTTCTTTATTGCATAATATGGATAGTACTCCAGAATTAATTTTATAACCACCTAGTTATGTTCTATTATACATAGCTAGTGTTCCCACTAGCGCTTGCATACCTTTTCTCCTTTTCTCTTGCTTTTCGTCGGTTATCATCTTCATTCAGAACTTTCTTGAGTTGCAGGAACAACTCATGTTTTTCATCTTGCAGGGTCTGCAACTTCTTTTCTAAATTTTTTATCTTTGAAAAAAAATATAAAGAAATATTGCAAAATCTTTCATACTTCATCCTTTTCCCTTTTGTAAATTTCAATAAAGTTTGAAAAACTGCAGCTGCAGTTATTATTACTATTATTATTATTATATAATTTTATATATAGATGCTTAGAGACCTTGTTTATTTGTGCCTTATAAATTGATTTATAATAATTATTATTATTATTATTATTATTATATTATTATTATTATTATTCTCATATTTAGTGTTATATTTAGCCAGTTTTTCTACTGATTAATGAATGTACCATTTTTTATAGGCTTATACAAAAAATTTCTATTTTTTTTTCCCTTTTCATTGCAGCCCCACCATAAACACAAAGTAAAATCAGATCTCTGTAGTTATTCTTCCCAATCAACTTCAATTATTAGTAGGTAAGGTAAAAGTCGAAACCTGCAGCTCTGAGCTCACAGGCCGGAGTGACCGTCTCTTCCCACCTTAGCGTTTGGGCCAGACTGTGCAAGGTTGTGGAGGGTTCTACACTATTCCTGCACAACATTTTGTTTTTACTTTCCCATCATTTGCCAGAACCCTTTATCCTCCTGGGTGGAGAGAGACATGTAAATAAAGTGTCTTGCCTCAGGACACAAGCGATTTGCACAGCAAAGGGTTTCGAACCCCCCGATATCAAGGCCACAACCGTTGCGCCAACCGCTTCTACATTTACTAGCAGCATGAAATGGTATCTACCAATCTGCTTCCATGATCATTCTGTCTGGATTGAAAAAAAAACACTTGATGAATTATACCTATTGGTGGCGCTTCTCACCTGGACTTTAGTTTCTTCGAGAGAAAGGGTTTCAGCTTCAGCCTTCTTACGCAGCCTTTCTTTCTCTTCTCTTTTTCTCTCAATAGCTTTATCTGCTTCCTCTTCCTCTATAAAAAAAAAATGTATTGGAATTCTTGTATTCTAATTTTGTTGTATGTCATCTGTTAGAAATGCTTGAAGTTAAGATTTAATGATTTATTTTTATAGGAACTGAAAGTGGAGCATTTTGAATAAATCGAAAGTATTTCCAAATGAATGATCAGTTGGCGCAGCAGCTGAGGTTTGAACTCTTAACCTTGCGGTCAGGGGTTGTAAACTCTTGCCGTGCGAATCGTTGTGTCCTTGGGGAAGACCATTTATCTGTACTTGTCTCTTTCTACAATGAAGTATAAATGGGTACTGCACCAGCATTATGCTGGGAAGGTAAACAGACTTGCTGTGTGGAGGAGCAGCAACTGCCTAAAGAATTCCACAGTTTTGCTACAAATGCTTAAAAAAATAGAGGGATGGACACTCCTCAACTGTACAGTTTCGAATACTGTTTACCTTTATAACATTAAAAAAAAATTGTTTTATGAAACTATATTTTAAGAGAGTAGCCTGGCCACCATGTCATAAACATCTAACCTTGTCTTTTCCTTTCACGTTCCTTCAGTATATGATGTTTGAGAGCATCTGACATAGCCTTACTCAGCTTAGGTCTCAGAAGTGCTGGCATTGTGTTGACAACTTGGCTATAATCATCAATAAAAAGTACACAGATCAAATTCAGGCCTTGGCATATGATGTCTTAAAATACCAACAATATGCAGACAATTCTGAATGTCTATTTTTATATTAATTTTCTGTGCAAATTTGTATTAATTTTTTATGTAACCTCGCACAAATAGAATATTTAGGCAGGACAGTACAGCCAGACTGTATACAGGTGCTGTAAAACCTGCGCAGATCCTCTGCGCAAAAATTTGTCCTGAAATTTTGGAAAATAAGGGTTAAGTTACATGCAGATTTTGTCGATAATTATGCTTTGACCTATTAGAAATAACCAATGTATCATGCACTAATTACGATATGCACATCCCTTTTCATAGTAATTTTCCGCGCAAATTTCAGCTGGTTTTTGAAGTATCATTCGCACAATTAAAGTACTTTTACAGTTTGGCAGTACAGTAACGCTAGGCCTAGACTAAGCTTGTTTAGGAAGAAGACATATAAAATGAACTTCGGGATGGTGTTAGTACTACAGTATTACTAGTATTATCAAGAGTCGACAGAAACGTTGGAAGCTATGCCTAGTTTAGTAGTAGTTGTACAGCAGTTGTTAAGGGCATTGATTGCTTCGAATTTTTACTGTGATGGTGAGTTCAACAGTCCATCTGTGACAGGGGTTCTCAACTCGGCCTAGGCTAGACCTATATCGCAGTAGGGGAAAAAATGATTCATTGAATAAACACTGAATAAATTTTACACGACCTTGGCATTACCTTACAGACGCGTGTGAATGCTTTTTATCTCGGTAGGAATAGCTCGGGAGATCGCTCGGTTACAATTTGTTACTTTTTGTTAAATTTAACTTCACGTGTGAATCGGGTATAAGATGGGTGAAAAATATTTTGAATTTTATACAAAGTTTTACTACAAAGTTTTTGACATAATGTATGACACCGGGTGTGTAAGATGGTGCACCGCGAAGACATTAATTGTCCTAAATTAATGATTACTTAACTTAATTAGAAACCATAATTATTTGATAAGTGGATTATAGGAAAGTCAAATCATCAAGGAATGTCTACGAAGGGAACCAGTCAATTCGAGCGGATGCTACTTTGAGCGAAGGTCAATTCGAGCTGAATTTTTTTCGAGCGGATGCTAGTTTGAGCAGAAGAAGATCCACTTGTGCGAACAACAACCTGTGTGAGTTATATACGAATAACTTCAAAATTTCCTATTTTTGAGCTAAAAATTTGACATTTTCAAAGGGTAAAGGGGGGGGGGCACACAACAGTTCCAGAATAGATAAGTGAGTAGCATAACTCAATTACAAATATAATTTTCTTTTTTAAATACAGAACCCCAACCAGTGGCGGATCTGGGGAAGGGGAAAGGGGTGGTAAATAGGGTGGCTAGCCACCCCACTTTGTTTACCGTGAAAAAAATAATGGTCACTCGTCTTGTGTGTGTGCTTCTCGTGCACTCATGTAAAACATACACTGTCTTCTTTTTTAAGCTGAAAAGTGCACAATTCTATTATAGTTTTAACTTGTTAGCAGCCATCTTGGTAGTCGGAGTTGTAATTCAAACATGGAGAAATTTATCAAAAAGTACTAAAAACCTTTCAGAACCTTAAAATGCTCTGATAACCAGAGCATTTTTTTGCATTTAAACAAATACAAGAATACGGTGACGATAAATTCGCCCTTGTTATAGTTCGCACTAAATGCATCCGCTCGAACTGGCATCCGCTCGAATTGACTGGCATCCGTCTGCGAAGACATTAACCGTCATAATTAATGATTACTTAACCTAATTAGAAACCATAATTATTTGATAATAAGTAGATTATAGCCTATAGGAAAGTCAAATCATCATTTGAATTGAATAATAGAATTGTAAGTGTTAAAAATTTAGTAATTCATTTTACTACTACTAGGCCTAGCCTACTCAGCTACTGTACTACTGACAGCTGTGCCTGTATGTAAGTATAATAGTGAGGCCTAGGCCTGTCTTCTTGTATGCAGAGTACAGACGGTCTATTTACTCCCTGCATACACTACACCCTTGGCCTGGCCAGTCTCTAGGTCTCCTAGCCTATGGCTTATGCCAGGCTAATACAGCAAACGCGGCCCAGCTTGCGTATATCTACCTAGCTTCCCTCTCTCCTCCGATCCTCCTGCCTTCTAGGCTTCAATCTAGCCTAGGCCGACTATAAGTTAGTATTAGATAGGCCTAGCTTAGGTCCTACACCCCCGCTTAGGGATGGCCTTGACATTAAAAGAACAAAAATACGCACATTTAATTAGACCTTTGATAAAAATAATGCCTGTAATTGTTATAATGGTTAGTAATATCACCAGATTTAGGTTATTAATATTATACGTATGATGTACCTGTTTATTATTTTAAAAAAACACCCAGACTCTGCTTCTTTCTCTCTTTTCAGAAAAACAGTAAATCCAATACAGTATTCTTTGGTAAATCCAAAGATACTAGAAATACAAGATAGAGTTCTCCACACAAAAAAGTGTTCCACCGAAATGCATGGTGGGAATACGAAAAATGGGACGCCCCCTACAGCTGGATCTAAAAAAAACTTGTGCCAAACTTTCGTTGCCTTTTGCGTCTGGATATACTTAGCAACAGAAAGGCGCCCTGTACGTTGGGCACGAAGTATAGGAAACTTGCATGGTTTAAAAGAAGGGCGCCGCCTACGTTGGGCACGACTTCCGCCTCATTTTTACAATGCGAGAACTCTATCTTTCTAGTATCTTTGGTAAATCTAATGTGCGCACGCTCATTTTAGCCTTCCCATCATCCTTTTCTCGTTCTTTTCGTGATCAGACTCCATCATGGCAACAGTAAGTGAGGTTTTGCCTCTGTAAAATATCTTTAAAATTCACATTTAGAGTTAAGGCATCAATAATAGAAATACATAAATTATTTTGTTAATATAAGTTAGGAAATTAACCTCATAAATACTTTACAATAAAACCAAAAATTGACCAAAATTAAAGCAATTCGAAATTGATGCCGATGATCAAACATTACTTCAAGGATCAAACAGTGTGGGTTGACGGCCTGGTGTCCATGGCCATGCACTGTTTTGAAATGACAGAAATTCGAGCGGTGCATGCATTATGATGTCCATGGCATGGCATACATAGACTCCACGTGGCGGATTGGACAGTTTCAGTAGGCTTCCTAGCTAGGCCTAGAGTTAATATTTAGCCTGCAGTATCAGGGTTTTTGATAGGAGAGGTAATACATTTCAGGAATAGGCCTACACATGTAGGCTAGGCCCAGCTAGGTCAATTAGGGCCTAGGCCTATTATTATTGTTGTGTTTTTCAAAGCATTGTCGGGGCACTTTTTTCAGTCATAATCATATATAATACAATACTCTACCCAAAACAGTTATGAAAACTTCAACACTACAAAAGTTCTTCTTACTCACCAGAGCGCTTTCGCAAACCAACCGGCGTCTTCAGTGGTTTTAGTTACCGTGTTCATCTAGTGTGGAATCTCATCTGAAGTCATTACCCTCTGCCCCCGGCTGGTCTTGTTGGTGGCAAAAATTTTGGATCCAGTCTGGAACAGCCTTTTAGCCGCCAACAAGACAGGGGGCCAAGGGTAATCTTATCTTTGACATCATCAACATCTATGATGTCAGATGAGATTCCACACTAGATAAGGCCCAATAAAAAAAATTATTAGTTTATCACCCTCACGCGCATGCCTTTTATGGTACTGGGAAAAAGAAAAATTTTTTTCATTTATTTTATTAAATAGTTAGATATTGTTTGCATTATCTAAATCATGTTTTACTTTGAATATCAATGCACCAGCAAACAAACCAAGGGTTATATTTGGCTTTAGCAAAATAAAAATTTTTAAAAAAAAGCCTCCCTCCCTCATCACTTTTCCTGCCCAGGTAGGGTGATAAACTAATAATATTTTTTATAGGGCCTAACACAGTAACTAAAGCCACTGAAGATGCCGGTTGGTTCGGCGAAAGCACTCCGGTGAGTGAGAAAAAATTTTGTAGTGTTAAAAGTTTTTATAACTTTTATTTTGTTCAGAAACCACTACATATGAATCTTCATAATTATATAATACAATACTCGTGTCGAAATATTTGATTTAAAAAACAAGAACCAGTTCTCTAGAGAACTACTAACTAATTACTATTAAAAGCCCTTGTTTTTTGCATGCTTTTGGTTAGGGGATGAGGGACGTACGCACCCCTATTTACGCCACTGAGCATGCTGCTTGTAAGGTATTGAGCCCTTTGAGATCTAAAGCTAAGAGTCAGTCTATTGAATGCGAAGTATTAATTCAAATTTAATAAAGGTATATTTTTCAATTTTTAGGCTCAAAAGAGAAAGTCCAGTGCCGGCAAAGGCAAGAAAAAGAAGACGCAGTTAAAGTTTGTGATTGATTGTGCTCATCCGGTAGAGGATGGCATCATGGATGCTTCTAATTTTGTAAGTTGATCCTTCTTTCTATAAAAAATATAATTTAAAGTCTTTTTCTGCTATAAAATTTTGAATAATTATGGTAAAAAGAGGCCTAGATGCACCAATGCCTTTTTGTTTTTTGGGTTTTTTTTACTTTTTATTATATTTATAATTTGAACATTTTTTGTAATTTTATTTTGATTTAACAGGGATTCACCAAAATGATAACCACCTGATTGAATTGAACAGGCTTCTGTTGTTTGGAAAGAATACAGAAAATATTTATAATCTATACACATCCAAAGTAATTAGGGTATCCTTCCCTAATTGGAAAGGAGTATAGTAACGAAGTCCAGAAAGATTAGGGTATCCTTCCCTAGTCAAGAAGAATTAGGGCAACCTTCCCTAATTCCAAACATGTTTTCTGTTTTTAATTTGTGCAACAGGAGACATTCTTGCAAGATCGCATTAAGGTTAACGGCAAGATGAAGAACTTAGGAACCAATGTGGTAATTGAGCGCAGCAAGAGTAAGATCACTGTCACATGCGACATCCAGTTTTCAAAGAGGTTTGTGTTAAAATTAATTATAATAATCTAGTCTTTTGTAGTATGATGATACTGAGGTAAATATGCGAGTTCTCAACACAACATAGATAAAAATATGAGTTTATAGTGTACTCAAATAACTTTAATTTGGTTTTTAAACATGTTTTCAAACATGTTTTCTAGGATAAATAAAGCCAGTTATATGAGTTGTGTATAATGTTGTTCTCATCATGTCCGCAGTGTAGTGGTAAAATTGGAGTTACCCTGGGATGCGATGAGGGTGCTTTTACCATTGTGTGAATGTGTTGAAACTGGGTTTTAAAGGAACCAGCTTCAAACTAACAATAAACAAATAATAAGAATGAAAGCTCAAAATTTGCATGGAATATACTTTGATTTACTTTAAAAGTGTAAAATAATATCAAAATATTCAAAACTGTCAAAGAGCAAAATATCATGAAAATATTGACTGATATATTTTTATGGTTATGTAAATATGTTTTCACAAAGAATGTCTCTTTGGTGAAGATACTTCATATTAATGTCCCTGTCCTTGTGTTTACACCGAACAAATTTCATCATCTAAACATTGATCAGTATCTTTATATCATTGTGGTACAGACAGCCTTACATGAAAGTTAATTTGTTATTTCACATCCAACAGCAACATAACTCACCAATTTCAGGATGGGACAATGGTTTTTTGATGCTTAGGTAGTGGAGCTGTTTAAGTCGTTGGAAAATAATTCTACAATGACAGTGTTTGCCCCAGGGCCACTGATTCTCAGGGAACCCATGTGTGTGACCATGCTTGAAAAAAAGGGCCTAAACACGTTTTGCAATGCAGATAAAAAGCACTCTTTTCCATGTAATATATTTAAAATCTTGCCACGTATTACTATTTTTCGAGTAGAAAGTACCCAGAAACACCATGGTTTAAAATTGGGAATGAACCAACTTACGCGAGCATCACGGAGCCAGAAAAAAAAAAATACTGAATTGTGCCCCCGGACGTATTATTTTGTCACAGTGTGTGCAAGACTCCCTGTGAGACGGGCGGTTACCTCCTTTTTGCGCTGCATCAACTGGGGGTAAGCCGACGCTGTCTGACACAAAGCAACGCAGACCCTAACATGTTCATAATGTCCTAAAAACGCAACATACATTGTGTGTCTGTTCAGGAAAAAAATTACCATTTTTACATGATTTTGGTCACACACATACACCACACCGTGACCTTTGGGATGCATGTGTGTGACCGCCGGGAGTGTTTGAACATAGAACACTGGGATTGGAAGGCAAGCATTTCAACCACCAACTCCACACCTAAATCTTGTTTGTAATTTCAGTTTTAATCTTTATATGTTATAGGTACCTCAAGTATTTGACAAAGAAGTACCTGAAGAAGAACAACCTTCGTGATTGGCTGAGAGTTGTTGCAGCAAACAAAGAAACTTATGAGCTGAGATACTTCCAGATCAACCAGGATGATGATGAAGATGAGGAAGAGGATTAAATTCAACGATACTTTTTCAAAACAGTCTGAATAACATATCAGTAATCTATAATGATATAAATTCACTGTTTACTGAATTTGCTTTCTGACTGAATAAAATCTACTGTATCAATGAAACAATTATGTGTTCTTTTTTATGTCAATTCCTTAATACAGTAGTTATAGTGCATGCAGGAGCAGTGGAGTATACCTCATAGGGTCACACTAACCTAGGAAAAGTTTGTGAATCTAGGTACTCCCTTACCCTTATAAAACTTTTCAAACAACAATATTACTCTAAAGGTATTTAAAAAATTACCTCGTTTACTAAGGTAATCCCCTCTCGCTTATCAATACTGTACCAGTGGTTCAGGCTTTTCCTCCAAAGCTGATAAAAAAAAAAGGGCCACACCCGGATTATTTGCGTCAATACCAATTCTGTCTGGTGGAATGTTGATTAGAACTACAGATCTTGCTACAGTAAAACATTTTGCCAAACTTTCCCATTCAGACGCTGCTAGAGAATTTAGTATTACAGCCGATGCCATCACAAAATGTAGACTCGGCAGTGCATCATTGACCTGGATTGAAGGAAAGAAGAGCAGTTGCTGGCTTACTGAAAACTGGAGAATTGATATATGGCGGCATTTGTACTGTAACTTCGTGGCCTCGGTTTCTAGGGAAAACATGATGTGCAAAGGTACAGAGCATATCAGTATTTTTCTAACTTGTATTATTGAGAGGTTATATGCAACTCGATGCTTTTAACTCTAAATAATTGTACTGCTCCTGTTGTAAATATCAACTTTACTGCATATCTACATGACCCTTAATTTTGCCATTTTTACTGTTATCCATACGATAAATAATGCTGCCAAATGTCTTATTTAATATAGAAAGTGAGCGAGTATATTTGGGTGGTTTTCCGCCGTTTAACTATAGTAGAACCCACATTAATCCCCTTGAATAGGGGTTGACCAAAGTGCATGAGTTTGTCTAGTGCATGAAAAAGTGTCCCCTTTTTTTTAGGGTGTCCCAAAGAAGTGGTTCTACTGTAATTACCGGACGAGCAATGATTATTATTTTTATGATCTAATGAACAATGATAACAGACACTACCAAAATTCTTACCAGTTGAAAAAAAGCGAGTTATTGGTCCTGAGCATCCAGACACTTTCCTGTTTATATATTATTTCATGTCAACCCAATAGGGTGGGGGCCCCTCTCGGCCCGGGACCCCACCAAATTTGTCAAAAAAAAAAAAAAATTAAAAATAGAGAAAATTATATTCACAATTTTAAGTCTGTGAGTGCCATTTCCGGCCATCTAGACGTGCTATAATAATATAGGCCTATTTTCTTATCTCAGCCCCACAAGGACAACAGCATAATGTGTGTCTGAAATCGACTGTAGGACATACCCAGTGGCGGAATAAAGTTGGGTGGGTGGTCTGCCGGTCCAGGGACCCACTAAAATCTGTCAAAATATTTTTTAACTGGAGATAAAAAGAATCATATTCACATTTTTATGTCTGGTGGTATAGACTCTCCAACTGTGAAAGTACCTCCCTGGCCTCAACTTTCTGGATCCATATTACATCATTTATTCGTCGTTAAAAACGTTTAGAATAACAAAGCACATCTCCCACGATGGAATTCCAAAAAAGGGCCCCCAGTTTCAGAAATACACAGGGCCCCCGGCCCCATCGTTACGCCACTGGCCATAAAATAAACGGGTCGTGACAAAGTGCGAGTCATGCGAGCCAATGCGCGAGCCATGCGAGCCATACATTTTAAATTCTTTTTTTTTTTCCCACTGCGGAGCTTTGCCTGTGTAGTCCAGTCATGCGCAGTACATACCGGGTACACTTTTGGACTTGGACTACTTTTTCGAATCGTCGATCCGAAAGTATGCAGTGCTGATAGAGATGTTGTTAAAATATAGATATACATATACATACATACATATATATTTATATATACATACTGTATTTATTTATATATATATATTATTTTATATATACTGTATATATTTATATATTTATTTATATATTTTTATATTTATTTGTATATTTATATATATATTTATTTATATATTCATTTATATATTTGTTTATATACTTTTTGTATATTTATTTATATATTTATTTGTATATGTATTTATATATATATTTATATGTTTATATATTCATTTATATATATATATTTTAATTCTTTTATATATTGTTTGTATATTTATTTGTATATTTATTCATATATATTTATATATATTAATATGTTCATATATTTATTTATATATTTATACATATATTTATTTGTATATTTATATGTATATATATTAATAAGTTCATATAATTTTTTATATATTTGTATATATGCAGCGCTGATAGAGATGTTGTTAAAATACAGATATACATATACATACATACAGATATATTTATATATATATATATATATATATACGGTATTTATTTATATATTTATTTATATATATTATTTTATATATACTGTATATATTTATATATTTGTATATATATTCATTTATATATTTGTATATTTTTTGGTACATTTATTTATATATTAATTTGTATATGTATTTATATATATTTATATGTTTATATATTCATTTATGTAATTTTTAAAATTCTTTTATAAATTGTTTGTATATTTCTTTATATATATATATATTTATATATATTAATATGTTCATATATTTATTTATATATTTATATATATATTTATTTGTATATTTATATATATATATTAATAAGTTCATATATTTTTTATATATTTATATATATATATGTATAAATATATATATATTTATACATATATATATTTATATATATATTAACATATTTATTAATATATTTGTTTGTGTATATATATTTATTTATATATACTGTATTATATTATATATACTGTAATTATTCATTTATATATATATTTATGTATTTATATATTTATTTGTTTATATATTTATTTATATATTAATGAATATATTAATATATAT